TTCCTCCCCTCCCGGGGTGTCGCCGTGCTCCTCCTCGCCGGGCTGGGGCTCGAAGGCGGCGCGCAGCCCCAGCAGCCAGCACTTCTCGATGGATCCTGGCGGGATGAGATCCCAGGAGAGGCCAGCCAGGTACAACATGTCCTTGAGGAGGAAGGAGCGCACGAAGTCTGCGGGACTGCCGGGGCCGCCGCAGGACACGGCCAAGCGCAGCAATTCCCGCTTGTAGAGCTGCTTGAAGGCCGACACCACCCCTTGCTCCAGCGGCGCCGGGATTCGGCCTCCTGCTCCGGCCAAACCGCTCCCAGAGGGACCCTTGGAGAGGAACAGCGCGCGGATGGACCCATCCGGAGTCTGGAGCGGTGGGGAATCCTCAGCCCCCGCTGCAGAGCGGGACGGAGCGGAGCTGAGCAGCAGCACGGCCTTCTGCTGCAGGCAGCTCCGCCGCAGGTACCGCTTGACCCCCGGCACGAAGTCCTCAAAGAACCAAGCCCTCAGAAGCGCCGGCGCCAGCCGGGCCTCGGGGCTGTAGCGGTAACAAGCCGGGAATTTCTCCTGGTTGTGATGCCTGAGGCTGGCGGGATCGCGGAGACCCCCGACCACCAAGGGCTTGAGTTTGTGGGAGCCGGTCAAGTTGGCGGCCAGCAGCACCGTGACGCGCTCGCCGCGGGCCGGACGCCTCGCCGCGATTCCAGCACCGGGAAGAAGCTTCCAGAAGAGCCGGGTGATGTTGGCGTTGTAGATCTGCTCGTCCCCGTAGCCGCCGGCATCGGGCAGGACCTCGGCGCGGGCGGCCGGGGCGCGCTCGGGCTCGGCGGGAAGGCCGCCCTCACCGTAGATGCGTTGGCTGGAGATGCCGTGGCGCTTCTGCCAGCGCCAGAACCAGCCGTGGCTCGCCTTGAAGGTGCACTCAGGCCCGTAGATCTGCCGGGCGAAGGCTTCTGCCTGCGCCTGGATCAGGGGTCCGGAGAGCGGCACGCCATGCTGGCGCAGGGCGAGGAACCAGGCGTAGACGGCGCGGTCGATCTCCTCCTCGTTGGCCAAGCGCATCTTCTTGCGCTGGGTGCCCACCTCGCCGCCGAGCTGCTCCAGGAACCAGCGGAGCTTCGCCTCGTCCTTCAGCCACCCCCGCAGCGTGCCCCCCGGCACCCCGAAAGCCCGGCACACCGACGCCTGGCGCTCGCCCTTCTTCACCCTCTCGATGGCCTGGAGCTTGTCCTTGATGGAGTAGGCGCGGCGAAGCGACATCTTCACCGACACCCCCCCGGGTGATGCGCTGCTGCCTCCACCTCCTCCTCCTCCTGCCCGCCGCCCTCCCGCCATTCCCCCGCCCTCCTCCTGCTCCCCCCCGGGCATGGAGCGACCCCCGCATCCATGGGAATGGGGGGCGCGTTATAACCGGGGAGGGATGCGGGGATGGGGTGGGGGGGGCTCGGCGGCGCCTTTGTCTCCGCTCCGGTCCCCCGCATGCGCGCACCTCACCACGGCCACTAAGTTGCGCCGCTTCCTCCCCCCTTTTCCTCGCCAAGTTGGATTTTTCCTCCTATCTCTACCAGCGCCTATGGGTTGTACCACTTTGCGAAAAGGGGGGAGAGCGCCGCCCCGCTGTCCCCTCCCCTCATGTCGCTTTCCCCCTTGAGCTGTTCCACTTGGCTTTCAGGGGAGGGAGAAGAAGTGTGCGGAATGAGACAGCGCGCCGCACGCAGAGTGCGGAGCCTCCTCCGCCCTGTAACGCCCCCCGTGCAACACAGGGGATCATCCTGGGGAGGCAGGGAAGTAGCGTGGAGGAAGCAGCGAAGTGGCACATCCCCCTTTTCGCAGAGTGGTACAACCCACAGGCGCCAGCGGAGGTACGAGGACGAATCCAACTTGGCAAGGAAAAGGGGGGCCGGCGCATCCTAATAGTTACAGAGGGGCGGTTCGCGCATCCCGCTCCCACCCTCCCGTGCTGTTCCACATGTCTCTTTTACTGTGGGGGGGTACAGACCCCGCGCTGTGCTTGTGACACACTGTCTCCCCGCATCGCACTCCCTTCGCCACCCCCTCGCTCGCCACGTGTGGTACGCGCCGCCCCCATAACCCTCCGCGCGGCGCACGCCGCCCCTCTCTATCCCGGCGGCGGCCAAAGGGAGCGGAGGGGCCTTAAGGGGTCAAAGCTGCCGGTGAGTCCTGGTTTCCAGCCCCTAGGAAGCTTTGTACTCCCAGTAAAGGTCCTTTATCCCCCTCCCTGAACCTCGGCAGTGGGAGTCCCGGGGGTCTTCGGGGCGTCCTTTATCCCTCTAGGGCGGGAGGTGGGGGAGCCCCCTCATGATAATTGTGGGGAAGAGGCTCGGGGACCCTTTAGGGTGTGTAGGGTTCCTTTATCGCCTTAGAATCCCTAAGAAGGAGGTTGTGGTCACCCCTTTTGTTCTCTTGAGGGCACTTTTCCTGCGGAAAGAGGGATTTGGGGGTCTGCTCACAGGGAATGGGGTTCCTTCCCTCACAGTGATGGGAAGAGGGGAGTTTTGAGGATCCTTCTTTGGATGTGGGGGTCTTTCGCCCTGTAAAAGCCTCAGAAAAGGGAGTTTGGGGGGGGGGTGGGTGTTCTCCCATTGTCTTTAGGGTCCATTCCATTCCCTCATAGACCTGAGGGGAAAGATTTGGGGTGCTCTAGGCTTTTGGGATAATTTTTCCATGCCTAGAATCCTATGGAATACTGGGGTGACCCCCCCCTCCCCCCCCTTTCCTCATGTTTTCGGTCCCTTTTCCCTTAGTAGGTCTGCAGAGGGGAGTCCGTAAGAGTCCTGAAGGAAAGGATTTGGGGGTGCCCTTGTTTCTTGGGATTACTTTCTCCACTTAAAATCCCAGGGAATATCGTGGTGTCACTCCCCACTCCCAATGTTTTAGGTTCCTTTTCCCTTAAAAGTTTGGGAAAGGGGCATGTGGAAGCCCCCTCTGCATTCCCTGTGGGGTATTTCCTCCCCTCACATCCCAAAAAAGAGGATGTGGGAGATCCCCTCATTATCTGGGAGATCCCTTTCCCCTTGCCAGGCACAGGGAAGGGGGGATTTTAGGATTCTCCATGTCCTTGTGGTCCTTTTCCTTTCCCAGGATTTAGGAGCTCTCTGTTACAGGTAAGGGGTGGGTGGGGGGTCTCCCTAAATCTTTGTGGATTTCCGCAGATTTTTGGGGACATATTCCTTGGTTTTTTGGGAATATTCCTGGTGTAATAAAGCCTTACCTCTTCAAGTCTGGATTGGGGGTGAGGGGGAAAGGGATCAGTGTTATTCCTGCCCTGGTGAGGAAGAGAATTTAGGGATCCCACACTTTCCCAGCTGCTCCAGGTGCCTCAAGGATCTGCTCCTCCCCCCATTCCTGGGATTTTTTTTTTGTCCAGTCACTTGCTGCAAAGGGAAACCGGAGCTGCTGCCGTATCCTGGCACGGAGCAGCCGATCCATCCCATATCCCAACCCCCTTTGGCTGCCTTTCCAAACTTATCCTGGAGCTGGGAAACCTGGAAAATCAACTCCAGGTGCACCTGGGCTCTGCTTATCTCACCTGTCCCTCTTTCCTCGTGCTGCTGTTCCCACATTTCCGTCACCTCGGTGGGATTTGTCCTCTCTTTTTTTTTTTTTTTTAATCTCAATGCTCAGGGATCCATTTCCAAACTATTTTGGGAACAGGCAGAACCTGCTGTTGTGCTCCATGGGGTTTTTGAAGGATTACATCCCTGACTAAACTTGCTGAGGCTGCCGCATCGGCGTTCCCAGAAATCCCGGATGGATTTGTTCTGTCGCATGCAGGTCACCGATGATTTGGGATTGATTGGGATCCCGATAATCACAATCCTTAGGGATGAGGAATTCCCTTTTGCTGAGCTGTTTTGCTGTAATTCTTTCTTTTTCCAGATGTGTCCCATTTCTCCCTGACCTTCAGGTAGGATTTTTCCTCACCTGAGCTGCTCGTTCCCAACTCTTTTTTTTTTTTTTCCCTATTTCTCCTGATGGTGACACTTTCCAAGTCTTTCCCTTCTGCTGATTTCCCATATCCGTGATTGTCTCGTTAGGAATTTTCAGCTTGGAGCAGAAAGTTGTGGTTTTTAGGTGATCAGGGATGGGAATTGTGGTGTTTTCCTGGAATATGGAGCTTTGTCTCGTAGCAAAGGTGATGACAAGGGTCTGACTTAGGGAAGAGCCAATTTTAGGGAATGAAACCAGCAGAAAATCTACTTTTAAATGAACAAAATATTAGGTACAACTGTTAGTGTTTCAATTTGATTTCCCTTTGATGGTTCTTGAACTCATCCTGAATTTCTGGGCTGTGACTTTTCCCCAGTGGAGAACATTCCCAACGCCAAGCGTGGTTTTTATCCTAAAACTTTGTGTTGTGGAGGTGAAAATGGCAATTTTCAGTGGAAAATGTTGAAAGTTGATGGTTTGTGTGATTAAAATTCCTTTTTCCCAGGTTCTTCCAGGAAAACTGATGGACACAGAAGAGAAATTACTGGGTTTTTTTCCCCCCAATTCTTCCTTGCTTAGAAGCTATATTTCCTTGGAAATTTGGGGTTTTTCAGGACTGAACATAAGGTTTGGCTGTTCATGGAAGCAAAAAGGTGCTACAGGAATGTTTGGAATCACCCAAAAATTGGGATCCTGAATTCCATCAACACATGCCAGGACTGGGATGGCAGGTTGGGAATTCTCAGGCTGCTGGGATGGGAAAATCCTTTTGGAAAACATCACAATAATGTTCTTTTCCTTGTTATTAAAATGAAAATAAACTCATTTTCTGTGGTGTTGTTCACAAACTTCATGGAGTTCTGGAAAGTTCATCAGCTCCAAACTTAATATGTTAATTAATTAATCCATTAATTATTAATGATTTGGATGAGGAGCTGTTGCATCCATAAAACCTGGAATTCTTCTCTAAATTTATCCTGTGTTTTTTTTTTTTTTAATGCTGTCATAGGAGCAAAAAAAGTAAGTACCTTCTAATTGTTTGGTTTTTTTGGGAATTCTGGAAAATCCAGCAATGTCAGCAACAGTGGGATATTTATTAGATAAATTCCTGCAGAATTTTCTTGGAAATAATTAATTTTAAAGAGTTTTTTAAAATTAATTTCAGCTCTGTCAATGGGAGGGAATCTCCTGGGAGTTCCTCATTATGGAACTCCAATTCCGTAATTCACCTCATCCATGAGGGCTGTAATTCCAGGGCTTGGAGCTGCTTAAGAACTGGAGCAAAATCATTTAAAAATTTTTAAAAACAAAATTAGTTTTTGAACTTAATTTTTACAAAGTGCAAATTTTAAATTTAGTTTAAAAAGAAAGAAATGGTAGGAATCTTTAATGCAAAATCCTATAACTTTTTTATTGTTTGTACTCATTATTTACTATAATAAATTTATTTCTCTGTAAAGGTCCTAACAAAAATTTATTGCTCTACAAAATAAAACACAAAAACATAAAATAAATTCAAAAATTCAAAATGGGTTTTAATTTTTATTTTTTTATTTAAATTCAGAATTGAAATCTCAATTTTTAAGCATTTTTAGCTGCATGAAAGTTTCCCAACTCCAGGGGAAAAAAAAGAAAAATCTCCTTTTTTCCATTTCTAATAATTTGTCTAATTGGAATCTAATTAATATCTTAAACTCTTACCAATTTAAATGTTTAAAGGCAAAACTTTAATTTATTATTATATAAGTTTAAATGGAAATATTGAAGACCTGAAGAAAGCCTTTATGTGTAAATTTTATGTTAAATTTTAAATTCAAGTCCATTAATTTAAATTAAATGACAATTGAAAATTAAATTGAATTTTAAAGTTAAGCCTTGGACTTGAGGCTTCCAAAATCTCCCAGGAATTAGTGGAATTATAAACTTTTGAGGATATTTCATCTGGCTGGGAATTTTATTTGGCAGTCTGCCACAGGTCAATTTTTATTAATTAATTATTGAATTAATCACAAGATTTCCAACTCCTGGACAAGTTTAATTTGCCAATAACTTGGATTATATCCCAAAATTCAATCCTAGTTTTTCAGCAGCTGCCTTTTAGTATGAAAACGCAATCAAGAGTAAACCTCCAAAAACTCAAAAATTGGAGCCAGTTTTCCCAAAATTTTGCCTAATTGGGAATAAGTAACAAACAATTAATGACTAATCCACTAACTTGGAATAATATCCTGTTATTCCCAAGGATTTGAACAAAATCCTGTGGGTTTTTTTCCTGCCTTAAAATTTCAAATAGTGAGGGGAATTCTTGGCAGGAATATTTTAGGAGGTGTTGAATTCCTTGGAATTCAAACTTATCCCAAAAGGGAGAAATAAATGGAATATTTGCGCTTTTTCCCGGGAATATTAATGGATAAAAACATCTCCTGCATGCCCTTGCTTTGCTCTGCTGCCACTACATTTATTGTTATTATCTCTCCATGCTGCCCATTTATTTTTGGGAAGATGAGGACACGGAAAAATCCCTGCTCCGTGGACAAAGTTTGGCTGGAAAAACACCGGAACGACGAAGCCGAGCGGGAAGCGCTGGAGCGGGAAGCGCCGGAGCCCGAGGCCGTCAACGGGATCTGCCACGAGGATTCCATCGAGGGGGAGTTCAAGGGGGACCCGAAAAAACCCAGGAATGGCAAAAAGCAGCGGAAAAGGAAGCGCTCCCCGAAACCCAAAGCTCAGGATTCCAAGCTGGAGGCGATCCTGGCGGGAATGTCGGCGGAGCACGTGTGGTTTGACAAGCCCTTGTATGACCGCGCCGAGAGCGCCTACAGGATAAAATTAGCAGGTTCCCAGAGTTGGGAATCAACTGAGACTGGAAAAATGGCTCAGGAATCTCCTGCCATGGCCAGGTCGAAATCCAGCCAAGATATTCCCAAGGTGAGGATGCTCCCGGCGTGTTCCCACGGAAGCCTGGCCGCCTGTCACCACGTTGTCCAAGGGGTTTGGATCAACAAGTTTGACTTCGATAAGGCCGAGAGGGCGTTCATGGAGAAATCCCAATTTTTCCTTCCTCCCAACGTCCTGGCCATCCCATCTGTGTGGGCGAATTCCAGGCTGGGAACGCCGGATGAGGGCTATGGCACGGCCTTGCCCACTCCTGCCACGCCAGGCTTGGCTCCTGGCATTCCCAACTCTCCTGTGGCCTCTGTTCCCAGTTTGCCCAGCTCCGACCAGCAGACGGTCAATGGGAAGCCGCAGATTTCCAACTGGGAAGTTCTGGCATCCGAGGTGTGGCTGGAAAAGCCTCTCTACGATGATGCTGAGAAGAATTTTTATGAGAAGATGTTGGATGAAACCCAACATGGCTGTCTGGAAGCATCCAAGAACCACAACCCTGGGAAGGAAACTGGAATCACCTCCACCAACCCTGAGCTCCCTGATATTCCCAAGGAAAATCCCACCTGCTTTTTCCTGCACAAGGACAGTGAATCCGTGTGGCTGAATAAGGTGACCTACGACAGGGCAGAATCCAGATATTTTGCCCTGGAAGCGGCCAGAGCAGCAGAGAAAACAGGGATCCAGGAATCTGCTGCAGGAAATCCCTCCCATCCAGCTGCTCCGAGCATTCCCGCTCCGGAAACGAAGTAGGAGAAGTTTCTTTGGGGGTAACACCCATACGAAAAAAAAAAAAAAAGCCAACCAGGTCGGGATTGAGCCGGAAGGAATTTGCATGTGGAGAAGACTGGGTGGACTTGGAGATGATCCCGGTGGGCAGGGAGCAGGGGGGAAAATCCTTCCAGGAATTCCCTTTTCCTGAGGAATTCTGGTGGATAAAGGCTATGTTTGTGTGGAGCTAGAGGTTGAATGTTTAAAGGCAGGGCTGGGAAGTGAGCTCATTATCCCCCTTTTTGCATGGATTCAGCTCCATCCTCTCATTCCATATAAAAATCAGCATCATAACCAGGATCCAGCTTGAAGAAGGTTTGGAAGTGACTGGAATACAATTTAGGGAATCACTCTGGTGGGAGCATGTGCTGTAGTTTGTTTTTTTGAGGGAATTTATATCCAGTCTGTTAATTTTTGGAATGCCCTTGCATCTTCTCCAAAGGCTGAGGTAGAGACGGATATTCCTGGAAAAAAAGACTCTTGGAGCATCCGTCCTTATTTCTGACACTTCTGATCCATGAATTTTGTTGGGATTTGTTGGACAGCTTTTAGGATCTTTGTGTCAAGGGATTTAGGGGTCAAATACCTTTCACCTGGTCCTCTTTGGGATAATTTCCTATTTAGTTGGTCATAGCTGGATATTTGGGAACATCTACGTGTCTCTGTAAAAAAGTGGGATAAATTTGTCTGCATTTGGAATTTTCTGCGAATGATCCTGGTTGGAATTCCAGCAGGTCTTGGAGATTTGGGTGTGGAAAGTGGTTTTGCTGCAGCTCCTGTGTTGGTAGCCTTTGGTCTCATCCGAGTGGGTAGATGAGATAAGGAAGGATTTGATTTCAGGAAAATAATCTGTGGCTACCCTGGAAGTGTTTTTTGGGAAACTGTGGGATTTGGGATGATGAGGAGAGGCTTTGTGGAGCCTGCTCCGGTTGTGGTTTTCTTGTGCTGCTCTCCACCTCCTCAAACTTCTGCTGGCTCTGTCCCTGTCCCTTGCTGAAATTCAGGGCACTTCCTCTTTCCCTCTTTTTTTAAGGGCTCTGTTTCCCTTCAAATTAAGAATTTAACCCACCTTTGGAAGTTGCTCCATAAAAATTCCCTGTTTCCCAGCAGGATTTGGGGTGTTTTTTGCTGTTTTTCCCTGTAGTGCCAGGCCTGTCCCCTCCAAGTATTGCTGATTTTTAATAAAGATTTCCCAGTGATCTTGTGGATGCCCCATCCTTTGAAGTATCCAGGGAAAAATTGGATGAGGCTTGGAGCAACCTGGGATAGTGGAAGGTGTCCCATGGCAGGGGGTTGGAACTAAATTATTTTTATGGTCTTTTCCAACCCAACCCATTCCATTATTTCAATTCCCTTTTTATTGTCCTACACAAGACACTTTCTTTAGCATGAACTAGGAAATCCTGGTTTGTTTTTTTTTTTTTTTTTGTGGAATAAAGTCTGGATCAGCTGATTCATCCCATCCCCACTCCACACCCAGGTCAGGCAGGTGGGTGATTAATCTGTCCTGCTTTTTTAAGAGGATCCTGGATACTTAAATCCGCAGCCAAGCTGAGCTGCAGGCACAGAAACCGCTCCTGACGAGCTGTTAACCTTCAATCCTTGCGGGAATTCAATTTTTGTGGATATTTTCCCCCCTCCTTTTCCCAGGAAAATGGCTGTGGATTACTTCCTGCACGACAAGATCTGGTTCGAGAAGTTCAAATACGACGACGCCGAGCGAAGGTTCTACGAGCAGATGAACGGCCCCATGGGTGGCCCCTCCCGCCAGCAGGTAATTCCCAATCCCAGGAATTCCAGAGTAAGTCAAAGGACATGATCCACCTGGATTTTTGTGGGATTTCCACTCTCAGTGCTGTTTTTTTCCCCAAGTCTTCCTGGAGCTCTCTAAGCTGTTTAAGACCCATTCGGGGGGTTTTTTTCCCATTGTTTTCTGTGGAATCTGAAGGGATTTGATCCCAAGGAACTGGGAGATCAGTTGTCCTTCTAATAGGTGAATCAGTCCCAGCATCTAGAAGATATTCTTAATTTTGCTGGGATCTGTGGGGGCAGAGTTTGAGCTGGAAATCCCCAAATCCCCAATTTTATTAGCAAAGAGCGTCCCTGTCCCCCTTCATCCAGGGAAAATGCTGCTTTGCTTCCATTTTGGAGCAGTCCTTTGGGATATTCCAAGGCAATGCAAACCTAAAGTTTGAACAGAGGAACAACAGCTGCAAAGATTTTTGGGGGGAATTTTTTTATCCCTCTCTTTGCACTCCTGGAAATATTCCAGGTGTTCCAGTGGAAGATTCTGTTTGTGATACCGGTGAGTTGGGAAGGGGAAGGTGGAGGGGGAAGCATGATCCCGCTGAGCTGCAATATTTCCAGCTTCAATATTATCCCAAAATTATTCCTGTTCCAAGGTTCAGAGCTTTCCTAACCTCTTCCTGCTCCTAACTGCTTGTGCCTTTGGAATGCTGAGTGTTCAGTGCCTCTTTCCAAGTGTTTATGGGGAAGCTTTTTGCTGAAATTCTAACTTTTAGGCACATTCCAGCTATTCCTGCGGTCCATCCTGGCTTAGGTGCTGGCACAGCACCTGGGAGACTGGGAATGGAAAAAAACTGGGAGCTCTGGATGAGTGCTGGAAGTAGGTTTTGGAGTGAAAACCTCTTGGAACAGTTCAGCTATTTCAAGGCACATCAGGAGCTTCCAGTGAAGGAGTTTGGCCTGGGAGGAGAGGTGGTTTGAAAGATGTTTGGAGGAATTTATCAGGCACTTCCCCCATGGAAAAATAGTCTTAAAACTTCCTTGGAAGTAGTAGGAAGTGGAGCCCACTTGGATGTGTCCAGGCTGTTTGTCCTTTATTTTCTGTTTAACTCAGGATTTGGGGGTTTGTGGGAAATTTCACATCTCGGATCTTGCTGATGGGAGCAGGTTGCAGTCTGGGAAAGGCAAGGAGTGAGCAGATGATGGAATTTCCAGGGAGGGAATCTTGAAATCCAGGCTAAAGCATGGCAGCAGGAGCACAGGGAAAAAATTCCTGGTGGTCTAGGTCCCACCTCTCTGGCTGGAGCAGAGTCAGGGTTGTCACTTCCTGCCTGATCTCAGGTAATAATATGGAAAAATCCTGCTGGAGGCTGGGTTTTTAAGGAGTTCTGGAGTCACTCCAACCTTCTGGCAGCATCCCAAACTTTTCAGGGCAATTATAGGGAATTTAAAAGCTCTTTGACTGGATGATCCTTCTGGACACGTGACCAGGGACTGCCCAATTTAACCCCAATCCTTACCGCAAAAATCACTGAATCATGGAAAGGACAATTCCCAATTTTCCCAATTCCCTCGCTCCTCCTTCCTTTCATTGTTTTTTATTTTTTTAACTTCCCTGATGAATTTTTTTCCCCCCATGTTTCAATATTTTTTTTTAAAAAAGAAACTCTTGGTTCTTTCTGCGCTGTTTGCAGGAGAACGGAGCCAGCACGATCCTCCGCGACATTGCCAGAGCCAGGGAGAATATCCAGAAATCGCTGGCCGGAGTGAGTACCCAAGCTCTCACCAGCTGGCTGCCTGCATCCCATTTTTTCTTTTTATGGAATTCTAATCCCATAGATCGTTTGGCTTCTTGGTTGGAAGCTAGAGGAGAAGACCAAGGTGTGCAGCGCCGTGTGCCACCAGCTCCGCCCCGTCCCCACGCGCTGCTCGCCCGCAGCGCTGCCAAAACTGGATTTGGGTTAAAAGAATTCCCTGAATTGGGCTTTTCCTTCCCTTTTTTTTTTTTTTTTTTGGTTTTTTTTTTTTTTTTTTTGGTTGTTTTTTTCCTGGTGGGATGTTCCCATGGGTCTTAACTAACAGGTTCCAACTCGCTGAGCGTGTGGCTCTTTTTTTGTTTTTTTTTTTTTTCTGGTGGGATGTTCCCATGGGTCTTTACTAACAGGTTCCAACTCGCTGAGCGTGTGGCTCTTTTTTGGGATACACTGGGCTGCCACCTTCTCTTCCCTGTTTTGCTTCCAGTTTAGGGGATGTGCAAAAAAAAAAAAAAAAAAAAAACCCAAAAAAGTTGTGTTTTCCATCTGCTGCATCCAGGGAATTCAGCTTGGCTACAAGCTCCGAGGCTGGAGCATCCTGGAGGAGCTCAGGAATGTACTTTGTGGAGGTGTTTTTGTGCTGAGTGCAGACAAGACCGTAAAAAAAAAAAATTATTTTTTGTAAAAGGAAATTAAAATACTGATGAGTGGATTTATGGGAAAGGAAAATCCATGGGATACAGTCCAGGTGTCTTGATTTCCTGCTTCTGCAGTGGGACTCCCAAAGGAATTCATCCATTACTTGGCCTCATAATTCCCAAGCATCCTCAGTTTCTATCTTTGATCAGCCCAATATCAGGCAATAACAAGGAATTCCCCCTTTTCTGAGGGGAATATTCCATATTCCTCCTTATATCAGCAGAAAGGAGCCAGACATTTGGGATGAATATAAGGAATCAGGATTTCAGTCAACAGCTTAAGGAAAAATTTTCCAGAACTGGCTCATTTTATGTAAAAAAAAAAAAAGGCTAAAGGAGGCCCCCATCCCAAACAAGGTAAAAAGTTTCTTTGGGAAGAACTTTTGGAATTGGGCAAGGGGCAGGGAATCTAAACCCAAATCACCTGGAAGTGTTGCTCATCCTCATCTTCCAGAGTGTTTTGCCAAAGATGTGGAATTTCTTTCCTGACTCCTGTTAAAGAGCTTTTTTGGGAGAGAATCCCAGAAGTTTGGATTATCCAGGTGCTGTAACAGGGAATTGGTAAAGCAACAGCCCCAAGCCAGGATAGGAATTTTGGGATATAAATTGTTTGGAGACGTTTTTGGGGATTAGTGCTGGATGTAAAAAGTTGCTGAATATTTTATGTTCCTGGGAAAGGGGTTGGATCTTCCACATGGCTGAGAAATAGTTGGAATATCCCTCAAGGATCATCATTAATGTTGGATAACCAGGCTGGACTTCAGAGCATTCCTAAACTTCTTCCTTGCATTCCCAAACCCCAAATTTACACTGTGTGATCCAGGGAAAAGTGGGAAGAGCAAAAATCCCAGGATTTTTTCTCTTTCCTTTCTCCAGAGTTATTGTGAGGGCTCTTAGGATGTGGCAAGAGAAAAGCTGGGTGTGAAAAGATGGGAAAATGGGAGTTGAATGCCTTTTTGCTGGGAATTTCAGGCTGGGTTTGTGTCATAAAATGTAGGAATGAGCACGTGGAATATGATGAGAGTCTAGAGTTCCTCGATTAGGAGGAAAAGCAGGAAGTAGAACAGGAAATTCCACCTGAACATGAGAAAAAAATTTATTGTCTCTGATACTTAAAATGTATTTTAGGGATTCAAACTTCAGGGAATAACATGTTTATGTACCAAGTTGTTCTGCCAACGTCCTGTTTTGTACCCTTCATAATTCCCAGGGATTTGATTTGTTTGGATAATTAAGTTTATGCACAATTCCAGCTTTCCCAAGCACTTCAGCTGTCCAGAATATTTGAGATAGGCTGCAGCTTTGAGGTGGGTTCAGCACAAAAATCATGGATTAAAAATAAAGGATTTGAGGGTTTTCTACAAGAGTGCAGAGGAAGGGAGGGAAGTGATGATGTGGAACTCCCCACCTTTGGAATTTTGAATTCTTATCCCTGATAAAATTCAGGGATGCTTGTGTGGAGCTGGAAGTTGGAAGAGGAAGTGGTTTTTGTGTGCTGTAATGGAGGTATGGTGTCCACATTCCCAAAGCTGGGAGCATCCTCTCCTCAGGGAAGATCTCACAGTCTCATAAAGGCAATTTTCCCATAATTTTTGAGGATCTGGGACATGGTTGTGCCTCTTGAATTGTCTTATGGGTTCCAATTAAGATATCTTGATTGCTTCACCTTGGGACAGGTATCCCTTGTTCTTCCCATGCTTTTCCCTCTTTCTAATTTTTTTTTTGAGGAATTATTATTAACAGGGAAGAGAAATCTCCTCTCCCTGTGCTGGCACTACTGGGCACCTCAAATCCTGGGATCAGTTTTGGGCACTTGTGACAAAAAGGACATTGAGGGGCTGGAATGTTTCCAGGGAAGGGAATGGATTGGGAAGGCTCTGGAGCACCAGGAGCAGCTGTGGGAGCTGGGAGGGCTCAGCCTGGAAAAAAAATGAGGTTCAGGGGGGACCTTCTCACTTCCACAAATCCCTGACAGGATTCCCAAGTAGGAATCAGGATCTACTCCCAGGGAATGACAGGATGAGAGGAAACCACCAGAGGGGAAATTTAGCTGGAATATTAGGAAAATTCCTCTTGGAAAGGGCTGTCCAGCCCTGGCCCAGAGGTGGAGTCCCCATTCCTGGAGGGATTTAACATCCCTATGGATGTGGCACTTAGGGATGCGCTCAGTGGTGGCCTTGGGGGAACTGTTGGACCCGATGAGCTCAGAGGGATTTTCCCACCTCTGTAATTCCATGATTTCCATCCTTGGAGCATCAGGGCTGGCACGGTGTGATGAGCCCACAGCATTGCACGAGCTCCCTGCAGACACCAAGATGTTCCTGGAGAAGATCCCAGAATTCCTGGGGGAATGTTTGCAGTGCAAGGCTGTTTCCCACCGCTCCATAACTTCCCCTTGCATGCGGCTCTTCCCTGCGCTTGAGTTCACTCTGGAATTGCGAAACCTTTTCCCATCTTCCCAAACTTTTTCCCACCCTGCAGCAGAAGACCCCTGCTCAGAGCAAGGAAGCTCCTTGTGCCCGTCCCAAGAAACAGTCGGGACGCTCCGCCGTAAGTGAGCCGTGCATGGATGGAGCCTGTGGAAAAACGGGAGAGGATTTGGTGGGACGAGGATGGAGCAAGTTCTCCTTCCTCAGGGTTTGTCCTTAGGCACTGGGATAAACCTGGATAATGGGATCTCATCCCAGCTCTGTGTCCAGGGATCTGCACTCACCTTCCTGAGCCCGAATCCACAGCTCAGATGGAATTTTTTCCCGGCCCTTTTGGATTTCCCAGCCTCATCCCTCGAAGTGTCCAAGGCCAGATTGGACAGGGCTTGGAACAGCTTGGGATAGTGGAACATTGTCTGGATGATCCTTAAAATCCCAACCTAAACCATTCCATGATTCAGACCTTTCCTTGTGCCTTGTATTCTTCATCTTATCCCTGCGTTTCCCTCTTTCCATCTTACATGACTGCTGAGATTCCACACTGGAATAAAAGAGAATAAATTATTCTCTCTTCACTTAGAAATGTCAATTCAAGGGCAAATCCTGTTATTTTCTTTCCCTTTGTTGCCTGGAATTGATGGATAAGGAACCTCCTTAGCATTAAAAAAAAAAAGGCTCTTTTTTTTGCTGTCAAAAATCCATTGAAACTAGAGTTGGAATAATTATTCCCTCAGGATGTGTTAAAGCAGATTGATATTGTTAGGAATTAAAAGCTGGGCTGGGGAAGGTAGGAGTGTAGAACTCCTGGGATCTTTCCAGTTTTCCCAGTGTTACCTTAGGCAGGTCATTCCTGTCCCTCAGTGGGTTGGGAGAGGAGACCAAGGGACTCCCAAGAGTTTTAAGGGGCTTTGTGTGAAATTTTATATAAATTTTATGTGGCTTTAGCGGCATTTTGGGATCTGAGAGTGGGAAAAGTGATTTTATCCTTTGGTCCTTGGTGCCAGCTGAAATTCCTCGGGATTTAGTCCATGCTTCATTTTATAGAGCTGCTCCATTAGTTTCTATCCTAATTTAGAGAAAATATCCTTGGTTTTAGTTCAGCTCCTGAACTTCCTCTCTCCCTGAAGACACGACTCTGCTTTGCTTCATGGATTTTTCAGGAGGAGGGGAAACAACTCAACTTCATCCCTGTTTTCCTTCTTGCAGAGTGCAAGCACAACCTCCTCTGGAGCTGCTGGTGACCAAAATGAGCTCCTGTCCCGAATTTCCCACCTGGAAGTGGAAAACCAGAACCTCCGCAGTGGTGAGTGGAGAATTCCTTATCCTAGCTGGAGACCTGACATGCAGCTGGGAATTGAAGGTCATTTTTCCTATTTTTCCCTCCTTTTCCCAGTTGTTGCAGACCTCCAGATGGCCATTTTCAAGCTGGAAAGCCGCCTGAACGCTCTGGAGAAATCCTCAACTTCTCACCAGCCCTCATCTGTTCCTCCAACCCAGGTGAGCCTTGGAAAAATGCTGGAATTTTTCTCTAGGAATTATAACTAAAGATCCATGTGGACAAACGTCCTGTTCTGTTACATCCATAAATCCCACAGCGTTTCCTGAGCAGTGGAGATTCCCATTCCTGAGCTTTTTTTGACTGCTCTGCTCCAACTCCAGGTTAATTTTTTCCCTCTTTTTCCTCTTAAAAAACCCTGGATCTGGTGAAGAAAGTGGAACCGTTCAGCGTTCCCTCCAAAAAAGTGGAGCTTCCGGCCAAGAAAGCCGAGCCAGCTGCTGCTGAGGATGATGAGGATGATGACATTGACCTTTTTGGGAGCGATGATGAGGAGGAAGACCAGGAAGCTGCCAAAGTCCGGGAAGAGCGGCTCCGGCAGTACGCGGAGAAAAAGGCCAAGAAGCCGGGACTCATCGCCAAGTCTTCTATCCTGCTGGATGTGAAGCCAGTGAGTGGCCTTTGGGATTTGGGAGCTCTGGGAGTGGGGCTGGGAATCCTCTCTCTCGTCCATGTGGGTGGTGGTGGCACCTGTGGAATTCCAGACAAGGGCTGGGAGCCAGGTGGGATTTGTTGTCGTGGAAGCCTGGAATGGGTTTGGATGGATGGGACCTTAAATCCCATCTCATTCCATAGGCAGGGACACTTTCCACTATCCCAGGTTGCTCCAACCTGGCCTTGGACAGTTCCAGGGATGGGACAGCCAAAGCTTCTATGGGAATTCCATTCCAGGGCCTCACCACCCTCCCAGGGAGGAATTTCTTCCCAATATCCCATCTAATCTTACCCCATTCCAGTTTAAAACCATTGCCCCTTGTCCTGTCACTCCATCCTTGTCCAAAGTCCCTCTCCAGCTTTCTTGGATCTCCTTGAGGCACTGGAAAGGGGCTCTGAGGTCTTCTGGAGCCTTTTCCAGCCAAGAAAGGGCACTTTGGATCAGTTGTGACATTCCCAGAGATGTCACTTGGATACCTCTTGGAGCTGCTGATGATCTCCAGGAAAACCCTAAAACCTCCCAATTCCCACTTTTCCAGTGGGATGACGAGACTGACATGGCCAAGATGGAGGAGTGTGTCCGGTCCATCCACATGGATGGGTTGGTGTGGGGAGCCTCCAAACTGGTCCCAGTCGGATATGGCATCAAGAAACTCCAAATCCAGTGCGTGGTGGAGGACGAGAAAGTCGGGACAGACATCCTGGAGGAGGAGATCACCAAGTTTGAGGACTATGTAAGTGTTGGAATGGGATGTGGGAAGGGCCTGGAACCCGTGGGAGGGGGTTAACTCAGGTGTGTTTTTCCTGGGAACACCTGGATGACTCCAGCTTTTGTCCCCTTCCAGGTGCAGAGCGTGGATATTGCTGCTTTTAACAAGATTTAGAAGGGAAAACTGTATCCCCCCTCATCTGAACCTGGAATTAATAAAGATGAACATTGGGAGTGCATGTTGGGTCTTGGGTTTTTCCCTCAGGTGCAGCTTCTCCAGGGGGATTTGATGGGAGATTTTGGGATATTGGAGCAACCTGGGCTAGTGGAAGGGGATTGGAATGAGAGATATTTAAGGTCTCTTCCAACCTAAATCATTCCATGATTTCCCCATCCTTCATGGAAGGAAAGATCTCAAGACACGGACCTGAATTTTGGGGTTGGGATGAAGGTCTCAGGGTGTTTCCAGTCATCTTTCCCAAGGTTTAGAGACCCCAGTCTCTCCCTACAAAAAACCAGGATGAATAACCATAAAGCATCCAGGAATTGCTGGTTTGGGATGGATTTCATCCCTCTTTTCCCACTGACTCCCTGCCCAGGTCACTTTAGCTGAGTGTGGCCTGGGGAGAGCACAGGTGACATTACTGAGCGTGGCCTGGCATGGGGACAGGTAACATTCCTGACTTTGTCCATCCCAGTGCCAGAGTCCAAGGTCTGGGGCCACCAAGGGACACTGGAAGCTCCATTGGACTGTGCTGTGAGGGGACAGGTGACATTCCTGACTTTGGGAACACGAGGTCTGTCCCAGTGCCAGAGTCCAAGGGCCACGGGAAGCTCCATGGGACTGTGCTGCAAGCCTGTCCCTTGTCCTGGTGGGTCCAGTCACTTGATATGTGACACGTGTCCCTCGCAGGGTCCTGCCACCCCCAGAGCACTGCTAGCAGTGCCCCTTGTCCCCTGTGCTGCCATCCTGAGTCCCTGCCGGTCCAGGTGATGCCACGTGTGTCTTTTGTGTCCCATTTCTGAGTCCCCCATGGACCACCATCCCTGTACCATTTCCTCCCTGTGCTGCCATCACCTGTGGCCAGTGTCCTGCCTCTGTCACCATCCCAGTGTCCCCTGTGTGCTGCCATCCCTGCTGCCCTGTCCCGTTGTCCCCCGTGTCCCACTGTCCCTGTATCCTCCCTCTACTGCTATCCCGGTGTCCACTGTGCACTGCCACCCTGCGTGTCCAGCTGTGTCACCAACCCTGTCCCATGTCCCCCTTGTGCTGCCATCCCCGCTGCCCCGCGTCCCCGTGTCGCCAGCCTTGTCCTGTGTCCCCTTTGTGCTGCCATCCCCGTGTCTCCCTTGTGCTTCCATCCCCGCTGCCCCGTGTCACCAGCCCTGTCCTGTGTCCCCCTTGTGCTGCCATCCCTGCTGCTCCGCGTCTCCGTGTCGCCAACCCTGTCCCGCGTCCCCTTGTGCTGCCATCCCTGCTGCCCCGTGTCACCAGCCCTGTCCCGTGTCCCCCTTGTCCTGCCATCCCCGCTGCCTCCCGTCCCCGTGTCGCCATCCCCGCGTGCCCCCACCCCGCCCTTCCGTATCCCTCCTATTTCCCCGCTCCTCCCCGTGTCCCCACCCCTGTCCCCTTGTCCCCGCCCCGCCATGGCGCCGCTGGCGGACCTGTACCAGGTGTCCATGGCCTACGGGCACTGGCGGGCCGGGCGACACCGCGCCCCGGCCGCCGCCGAGCTCTTCTTCCGCCGCCCTCCCTTCCGCGGCTCCTTCGCGCTCGGCGCCGGCCTGGCCGAGGGGCTGCGGGGGCTCCGAGCCTTCCGCTTCTCCGCTGCCGGTGCGTGGTGACAGCGGGGGACAAGACGGGGACACGGGGGGAAAGAGACGGGGTTGTAGAGAGGAGCGGTGGGCGAGGGGACAGTCCCAGTGGGATTTTGAGGGATAGGGAGCAACTCCAGCGGGCAGGGCGGGACAGAGGAGAGGATGAAGAAGGGACGGGAGAGAGTTAAGGGGGAGGGAGGCGGAACAACTCAAGGGGACAGTGGGGACAGGAGGGAGGATGAGGAAGGGACGGGAGAAGCGTTGTGGGGAGCGGTGGAGGGAGAGGGAGAAGGGAACCTTCCCAGGGAGATTTTGGAATAACTCCAGGGGATAGGAGGGGAAAGGGCAGAGGATGAGAAAGGGATAGCGGGGAGCGGTGGGAGGGACGCGGGGGAAGGAGGGAAATTCCCCCCGGAGGAGGATGGGGGAGCAACTCAGGGAGACTTGTAAGGGATGGGACAGCATCCAGGGGGACTTAAGGCGGGCAGAGACATTTCTCAGAGTGATCTGGGGATGGGGACTTGGGGAGGACGGGAATCCCTCAAGAGGACTTGATGGGGACAGGGACATCTCTCAGAGGGACCTGCGGGACTGGGAACCTGCGGTGGGGGAGAGGGACAGCATTTGAGGGGACTTGGGGGACAGGGGAACCCCCCTGGGGGACTGCAGAGGATCAGGACAACTCATAAAGGGACAGGAACATCTCTCAGAGGAACTTAGGGGACAGGGAGACCCTTCAGGGGACGCAGGGCAGAAGTGGACACAAAGAACCCTCAGGGAAACTTGGGGAGACACTGGGACACCCTCCAGAGATGTCCCTCAGAGGGGATTTGAGCCACCCCACCCTGTCACACTCCATGCTGGGGGTGCTATCACCCTCCTGCTGTCACTCACCTGTCCAGGGGAGGCTCGGAGTCCCCCCCACCTTCCCCTGTGTCCCTTGTCCCTGGTGTCACCGCGCTGTCCCCGCAGACGTCGCGTACCTGCGCTCTGTCCTGCCCAGCACCATCGACGACGCCTTCTTTGACTACCTGGCCACCCTGGACGCCTCCGAGGTGACCGTCACCGCCATTCCCGAGGGCTCCGTCGTCTTCGCCAGGGTGGGACCCTCCTCCATCTTCTTTCCTGACCGTTCCATCTCTCCCAGCTCCCGGATCTCCCCTTTTCCTTGAACCTGGGATCCCCTGGAACTCAATGCTGCTTTTCTCAGTGTCCCCCTTTTTTCCCTGACCCTGGGAGCACCTGGACCCCCATTCCCACCTTCCCACCTCACAGCACCCCCACACCCCCTTTCCTCAGCACCATGGACTTCTGGCACCCCCAATCTTGGCCATCCTCATGTCCCCACCCTGTGACTGTGGTTGTGTTCGAGGGTCCCAGGATGAGGGAAGAGATGAAAATCTTGACTCCATGTTTCAGAAGGCTGATTTGTTGTATTATGATATTATATTAAAATGCTATGCTAAAACTATACTAAAATGAAGAGAGAGAAAGGATCCAACAGAAAGCTGGAAAAGAAAGGAATGATAATAAAATCCTGTGACTACTCACAGCCTTGACACAGGTGGCTGTCATTGGACATCAAGTAAAAACAATTTCACACGCTGGTGAAACAATTCTCCAAATCACATTCCAAAGCAGCAAAACGTGGAGAAGCCGAAGCTTCCCAGCTTCTCAGGAGAAAAGATCCTGGCAAAAGGATTTTTCATAACATATGTCTGTGACACTGTGACCCCCTTTTCCTTCACACTGGGAA